TCTAACAGGCGTACAGAATGTTGGCTAATATGACAATAAAAGCACCGCAAAGGAAGGAATTTGTGGGATAAAAGTCTGCCATCAGGTAAACGCTGCAAACAGTGGATAATACGATGGATATGGAGGTTGCAAACCCCTTGAGAATATTATCGGCGTATTTCATAACAATAGCCACTACGAGACCACCAAATGCTTGCAATAACACCACAATCCATGTCAACGATGTGTATCCCTTAATATATAACATTCATATAATGAATATTTAAAATATAAGTAATTTATAGATAGAAAGGACACCTGAAAGAAGCCATTGGCGTAAATGAGATCAAAGTCTTGTAAAAACATAGCAATGGATGCGATAACGACTGAGAAGAGTGCCATTTGTGTGTTTCTGATCCATAGGGACTGAGAGGTATATTTGACTAACTTCTCGAAGTACACGCCGGAGAAGCCACTCGAGAAACATGAGGCCAACACAGCCGTCACTCCCAACAACCGGTTGCCCACCGGTTCCTCCGCACCGGTCATCGCTTCAGACATTTCATCCAATTTGTTGGACGGACTCTCAGGAGGGCTTTGGGGCCACTGGACTAAAGTGACGCCAATCGTGAGTAATACCAATGATAGCCATTGATTGACAGCCAGTCTCTTGTGAAGCATAAACACGGAGAACAGGGCTGTCGTCAGGATCTTCAGCTGATATGTCACCTAATGGTACAAAACAGTTGGCCATATGTTAGTCAATGGACACAAGCGATGGTCACAGAGACCAGAGACAGACCTGATATGTGGCGGCGTCTAAGTTAGTGAGGGCTAGGAATAGGAGGTTATTCTGAATGGTGTACAACAGCGCCGGTACCAAGAGTTTGGCCGTCTCTCGAGGTTTGGCCACCACTTCATTGTTCAAGAGTTGTAACACTTTTTGAGATGAACCTAAAGACAGGCAAAGAGATGGTGAGTGAGTGGATGTGGTTGTGGTGATTATCTCACAATTGGACTGAAGTGCGAGTATGAGGAGAGAGACCACAAGTTTGATGCATTCACTCAACACTATAGCAGTACTACTGATATAATGGGATTCATTTGGTGTGTAACTGATCCGCGAAAACCTTAATATCATTACTAATGTTGTCGTCTGTATTGTCAGCACTAATAGTGACAAATATTTCAGAAACAACATCTTAGACACCATTGTGTGTGGGATGTGATAGTCCAGTGATGGCCACAACGGGTTAGTTCATGTCTACAGTGAACACAAAATCTTTGGCTTTAATTGTGATTTGAATTGTGTTTTGAAGTGAGTTTTCAATGAATGCATGAATTGTTTGATGCATTCATTGCAAGCAATCATATGTTTAGTGTTTCTATAGTTTTCACAAACAATTCATTTATTCGTAAAATACGACAACTATTTCAAAGATACACAAAACTCCCCTAAACTTGCATTTTATTAGAAAAGTTTGTAAAACTATACAAATTATAAGAAACATAACTTTTGATTAATGATTTGCATTAGGCTATAAAATGATCGGACAGTTTACTAGTTTGAAAATGATTTTAAATGAGAATCAAATGATACAAAACATTATATAAAGCATTGCAATACAAGTAATGACACAATCAGTTGAGATCATCGTTAGGATCATTGGGATCATCGGTGGTATCGTTGACGTCGATGGCGGTGTCGCTGGAGATGTCGTCGAAGTTGTTATCATCGACGAGACACCAGCTCTTCTCAGGCCAAACACACTCCTCGGTGTAGCGATTGAATTGAAGATTGTCTGGACATGTCTTAGGACAGGCGTACCCATAGATGGGTTGACTGCAATCCAAATACATCGTACAGTCGCTAGAGTTGGCAAACTTATTGCGCGAATCAAAGCAATAGAAACCACTGGTTTGTGGGAAATCGCATTGATTGGTGTTTGGGTAGAATATGAGACCACCAGGGCACTGCAATTTATATGACCTTCCGTTTGAACACATGTAAAACGAGTGACAGTCGGATGGGTCCTGAAATAGGCGGTCATTCTCTTGACACTCAAATGTGTTAACTTTGTGGCCGTCATTACAACCGCTGTGTTCGGGAAAGTCACACACTTTTAGGGTTGGATTAAATTGAAGATTGTCGGGACACGGCTTGATCTGTGGCTTATAGTTTGAGCATAAAATAAATGAATGGCAATCGTGAGGGTTCGCGAATATGCCCTCATTGTCCGGACACACAGTCTCGGTCTCCGTTGTCGTCCAGCTCTTACCGATCCATACAAATAGTATTAACGTTATTAAAAATTGTGTTTTATTTGATAACATTTTTACAACTTTCATTACTTTAATGTCTGTGTTAGTGAACTATTTTTATATAATTTAAATTTAAATTTGTGCTAGTCTTTTATAGTAATGTAAAAATAATGGCCTTACTTGTTAATAAATTTTAATTTTTACATAAAATATACAGTAATATAATGTAATTTAATTAATTATGGCCATGATAGTCTATGCGGGTTTGATAACACATGAGATCCCAATTTATAACAGTCTACAAGTTTAGGAATTTAACGTTTATCTAAAAAGTGTTTGTTTCTAATTGTTTATTAAATTTTAATATGTTAAATATCTATAAATAATTATAAGAATTTAAAGATATTATTTATAATTATTTAATTATAATAAAAACGATTGAATTGTTTATCTAGTAATATTTTATTTTCTTTTTAATAATCATTTTAATATGGGTTTTTAATAAATACAAAAATAAATATAACATTTTTTATATATCGTATATAATTTGTTGAACAATTTTAACACATTAAACAAATCAGTAAATATTTTATAATTTATTGTGTAAATAATATTTCATTTTTTACCAATGAAAATTAAAAAATATAATTTACAGTACAATACAATTTATTTGTATTGAATTTGATTAAATGAAAATTATGAAATATGTCTGAACATTTAAAATCAATATCTGAGATATAGTTTAATATAAACAATAAATAAAATTTGAGAAACTTAACACAAATAAAATGAGATAAATGATAAGTGAATATTTAAATTAAAAAAATATAATAATATTTTTATTACCAGTGAGAATAGTACGAGAATTGAGAACAATTTATTTGCCATTATTTTTAAACCGATTTCTGCGGATCATATAAAAGACAGCAAATGCTATACCGATAACTAATGCGAGTCCAAAGATTACAATCAAAGCTATGGCCCAACCGGGGAAATGGCATTTGAATGATCCATACTTATAGTCATTGCACTGATAGCTCTCATAGTACTCAATCCATTCATCTCTTTTCATCTCAATAGTCCTGTAGTCGATGTCCGATGTCTTGAATGAACAAAGATCTCTGAGGGCGTAATCCATACAATCAAAAATATCCCAATTGTAGCAACACGTGTATTTCACTCTATAGTGGTCATCGTTTGTGTACCAGTAGTCTAACGCCGATTCCCGACAGCGCCGGAACCCACTGTCCTGTTGTAGACGTCTCTCGCACTCATAGCCCACATCAATGGGAAGTCTCTCTCTTAATGGGAAATAAAGAATATCTGACGACTGACTGTCACTTAAATTGATCCAGAATATTAAAATTACTAATATTTTAATTATTTCAATCATTTTGTCATTAATATGAATATCTGAAATAATATTAGATATTACAAACTGCTTGCTCTCATTGAAAGTTAGCAATTTGTTTTTATTGAAAATGTTATACTTATTTGAAATGACTCTTCAAAATAACTATTAATTGGAGTATTTTTCAATAATGATAATATCTAAAAATGATTTCCGTTTATTTGTTCAGTTGTATGGATGCGGGCATTGAAATGATGCCAATTCTGTTGTCAAACAACAGTTGTGTTCAACAGTTATGACAAATTGAATTAATCTTTTTAATAATAGTAAATCTTATCAATATTTTTTATAAAATTCTTCATCAAAATTTAATTTAATTCATAAATAGTTATACAGCTTTTCTAAATATAATATGTTTGTACTCAAATAAATATTTGAATTAAAATTATTTTTAAACTATAAAAGAATTTTTTGTGTAAATAAGAATTGTATGAAAATACTTTTTATTCACTCTCAATGTCTATAAAATCAAGTTTTATATTAAATATAATATATAAATAACCTTATTATGTGCAAATATTATTAAAATAATAAAAAATATATTCAATTATTATAATACTTATTTATAGTAGATATTTTACAGAGCACAAAATTTAATTTTAATGATTTTTATATTAAAAAATTAAAACTTGCAATTGAAATAATAAAAAACATTTTAAATTAGCAATCCCTTAAAAAATTATTAGCTTATAGTTACTTTTGAAATTGTATATTGATTTTGTAATACTGTATTTATCGAGTTTAATATAGTCAACATTTCTATTAACCCAAATAAATTGAAAACTTAATATTAATGGAAAACATTTACCATAATTTCACTGACCATAATTGAACATTTAAAATAAGGTTATATTGAATTTTCAGTAAATATTCATTAACAGGATATGTTACCATACCTAGACTATCGTATCAGGTTAACTCTTTTCTACCATACCTTAGACAATATTTTTGAAATTAATGTATAAAACTGTAAAGCCATGACTACAATCTGTTGTCTAATACCAAAACCATTGAATACCTGCCCTACCTGTGCGCAGGTGTATATTCACAGACCGTAAAAGTTTGTTTTGAATGATCTAACTCTACAACAAAAGCTAATTTGCGTTTTGTTTGACTATATTTTTGCCATTCATTTGACTGGAAGTCTGTTCTCATAGTAATGGGTGTAAAGTCGTAAACATTACAAAAACGATGATTCAAACAACCGTTTTATCATTTAATGAAGTTTAGTACACTATTTGCCAAATATAACTGATTTGTGGTCATACGTGAACAATATCTATGAGAAATCTATAGTTTCATAACTTTTAGTGAATGTGCAAAAACTTTACCACAAATGTGTGATCGACTGCCAGGGATAAGGATATAACAAGATATTACCACTTATTATAATAACTGAATACAATAGTGAAGAATAATATAAAAGCCAAAAAATATGCCCATTTTTGGGGGTAAAAAACCGAAATCACCGGACCTTTCGATCAATGGTGGAGTAGTTAATGAAAATCTGAGTAAAATGTCAAATAATAATAATAATAATAACAATCGCGGGGAGAATACAAACGGCAATAGGAGTGATAGTAATGGCAATAAAAGTGGACAAACAGTTCCCCCGAAGTTAGTATTCCAGTGCCAGTTGGCTGAGGGCAGTCATACGGCACAGGTATCCAATTTCTCAAATATTAGGGAACTGTATGAGAGAATCGGCGAAAACTTTAATATCCCAGCGTCTGAAGTGAGTTACTGTTAATTGGTTTGTCTTACTTTTTTGCTATAATTGCATTTATTAGTCTTTTACTATTCAAATACCTTACGTTAAAAACCATTATTATGTGAAATACACTGAAAGATAAAGCAGTTTTTGATTATTCCTTATGAATGCAATCAAACATAATTTTTACAACTTTATCTAAACTGTGATAACAGAGAGTTAAAAGTTTAATAGTTTTCTCATTACTAATGTTACAACTATTGTTAGGATTACAGTAGACTTACTTTGAATAATAACTATAGATATAATTGTTATTGAAATATACTTTGATTATCTTTTTATGATTAAATTAAGATTAAATACATGTATTGATATAAATTTATTTAATGTGTCAGTATCTATTGAACCAGTATTACATTAATTTAACATAGGCTACGATTTTGTATAAACCTTTAACACCAAATAAAACTGTATTTTGAGTTTTTATTTACCTCATAAAATTGCTCAGTGATTACCAGATAATGTCTGTCATAATCTTAAAATTTTTGGTTTTGTGTGAAATTTTGATGATCTCAAGTGGTTCTCATATTATTTAACAAACAAACAACAGTTTTAAAGGCTTTGAAACGCTTTATAACATAAGAAATATTTCATATTTGTTGAGCCATAAAGTCTTGATTCAATTGTTATAAAAAATGGTTGAAATAATAATAATTCTTATGATTCAGAGATTCAGAGACATTAATCATTAAATGTTATAATTATTTCATTACTACTTAATAGGACTTTAAAAATTAGACCAACTTTTTGAAAACTATTTTATATTTAAACAAATGTCTAAATACTGTAACTATTTATGAGAGAATGACTACATTTTTCTCAACAAACTAATTTATATTATTATTTTTCTTGACTATAATTTACATACAGTTGAAGGTTTTGAGACTATTAGGTCTTTAAGGAAAAAACATTTCAACGTTGTTTAAATTTAGAAATTATATAAACAGTTGTTTTACTTTACCCTTAAATTACTAAAATTATGATTTTAAAACAATGAGATTTTAATATTTTAAATATATCTTTATAAAATAATTTATAGAATATTTATTGTAACCTACTACAATATACAGTAATTATTAAACAGTCTCATGATACAAATTTGAGAGTATTTATGGTACGATTGTATTATAAATTTTTTAACATGATAAAAGGAAATAAATCCTTATGAAATATTTTTATATACGAAAAATATATAGCTATTATCTTATAATTAGTATTAATAAAATGGTTATCATATTGTAATTCACCAAAACATTTATTATACCGTATGTTTTGCAATGAAAATTATTGGTCAGGTTTTGTCTCAATTTAACAACAGATAAAATAAAGGAAAGCCTTATTTATAGTGTATTTTTACGTTATTGTATAAATTATTTTAAACCTCTTTATTGAATACTGTATTATATTTATTTTTATGTTATTTTAATTGCCAAAAATAAAAGTAGATAATAAGATATGGTAATTATTATTGAGAAATGTATTGTTAATTTGCTGTATTATTTTCTTGCATTAAATTGATTAATGAAACGTTGTTACCATAATATATGCAATTATAATGCAAATCATGATTCATATGGTTATCATAAAAACTTCGTCATTGTTTTCGCGCAAATATTTTTGAGATGAAAATAAATCCAATATAATTAGCAATAATTTATATATTTAAATATTTAATAGCATATGCACGTAAATTTCTACAAATTAATTTAATTACTGAAATACAGTTATAATTAATTGGGAACTATTACAAAACTATACAGTAAACCAAAAAAGTTATGAAAATGTAGTTCATGAGAAGATTTGATATTTTGAAGTTTATTCACATTATTTTCAGTCATTCATTCATTTATATCAAAATTTATATCTTATATTTCACGCATGAAAATGCATTTCTAAATAATATATTATGTTTTGCTTAATATATTCGTTCTTACTTTCATTATTGACACAATTCTTCGGTTTAATAATAGATAACATAAATTGAAGACAAATTAAAAAATTATTATAAATGACTCAACGCTTTGGTTAACACTTTTCCAAAGTCTATTGAATCGTAAATTATAGCTATGCATTTTTATTATGCTATCTAATATTGTCGAAATAACAATTGTTTGTATGCTATCTATTTATGACAACTTAATTATAAGATCTTTCGATTCAATTATAGTCTTGTATTTCAAGTTCTAATGATTGTTAAAAGAAAACGAAAACAATTGTTAATTAATATCAATATTTATACAAACTTTAACATGAAATGGAATTTTTCCAGACATCTGCTATCATGTCGTACTGAATATCATTTTGAAATACATTAATTAAATGAGTAATTTTGAAAAAACATAAAATTTTAATTAATGCAATACAAAAGAATTGGTTTTTATTCATAAAATCTTTTAATTTAATAATTCAATTGAAGTTCACATGATCTTTGTTAGCCTAGTCTAGGATTAAAGTCCACAAGATTCAGTCAGATTTTACAAATAAAATAAGTTAATAACTTTTGTGTAATTTTTTTCAGTTGAAAGTCATTGTTACCACTAAATGAAAGTATCTTTTATAACCAAATGCTGAACTACTGTAAAGCCATTAGACGGATGTAAAGCCCGTCCATTGCATGACTGAATTTATTCAAAAATGTTTCAAATCATAATAACAAATGTCATTATTTCCTGGTTTTTGGCTAACAACCCCTCGCTAAAGGATATATGACTTATACTCTCATGTCCTCTGAATTTTAAAATTATATTTATTAGACTAATACCGGCGTATAATTTTTTGGTCAAAGAAATCCGATTTATAAACGATAATCACTTATAAGAATTAAGAAAAATAAATAATTTAGTGAATATTTTGAATAAAATAAACTGAGGGAAATTTGTTGGCCTTAATTTAAAAATTAACTTTAATTAACTTTATTATTCATAATTACGATAATCTTAATTAATTTAACGCATAAATTATATAAAATTAATTATAATTTATAAATGACTTTTAATTGCAGATCCTTTACTGCACATTAAACACACATAAAGTAGATATGGATAGACTTCTTGGTGGCCAAATAGGTCTGGATGACTTTATTTTCATTCATCGTAAAGGACAGCGAAAAGAGTTAGAAATGACTAAAACTGACGAATACTTGGGACTAACCATTACTGACAACGGAAACGGTTATGCATTCATCAAAAAAGTCAAAGAAGGCAGCGCTGCCCATCAGATCAAGTTCATTGAGGTCTCACACAATCATACATTTGATTAGTTATGAAAATAATAGTTTAATTAAAATTTCATTCAAAACAATAGGCCGGCGATCACATCGAGAAAATCAATAACGAAAGTATGGTTGGTTTGCGACACTTCGAAGTGGCAAAGACTTTGAAAGACATCAAATTAGGCACCACTTTCATCATTAGACTCATCGAGCCCTTCAAAAATAGTTTCCGTTTGTTTCACATTTCATATGATTTGATTTATTTGACATAACATTCACTATTAAAACAAACTAATATCGACAGAAAGTATTGGTCCGCGAAGTGAGTCGTCGTCTCGGAAGTCGTCGCCATCGATGCCATCGTACGGATCGGGAAAAGAGACGCTGAGAATCCGGAAGAAGGGACCGCCGGTCGTCGAGTCGATGCCCACGGATGTGATCAAAGCGGCATTGGATCGCATCAATGGACTGTTGGAGTCATTCATGGGAATCAATGACAACGAGTTGGCCAATGAAATCTGGGATTTGGCACAACTCAAGACCAATCCGCACGAGTTTGTTGTGGCCATTGATAACTCGGACCTCAAAGAGTTTGGATTCAGCGATAACTTTATATTTGATTTGTGGGGCGCTGTCAGCGACGCCCAAGCCGGCCGTTTGGCCAAAGTTTGATCGATTGATTGAAAGTTTTTCTTATTTAAAGTCCGCATAAAATAAAAAGAATTATTTATTTGAAAAATTTAATTATTTGAAAAATAAATTTATATACTTATCAATTTAGATACTTATTATTTAATGTCAATTCGTGTTGTACGTAATCATTGTATTAATGTCTCTATCATTTATTTAAATAAAACATGAGTTTTATAAATTAAGTTTATATTTGTGGCATTTAATAGATATAGTGTATAACTAAGTAAATAGAGCACTTTATAGACATCACAATATCCAATTATGTTTTCATTTTCATTTTATGACTTCATTATTTCAAATTATATTCTCTTGTATCGAAAACATCAATTATTTATTATTTAAACATTTATACAGTTACTGAAAGTTAATTACTGATATAATTATATAAATATCTCTATATTCATATTAAATTTGAGTTACGTTGAAATTACATACTTTAATGTGTGAATACAATTTGAATTAGATTGGGGACTGTATGGTATAGTTGATATAGTTTAAAGGTTAAATTTTTTTATCAAAAGGTTCATTATAAATTTTTTTAATATAATTAAATATTTAAAATAAATTGTGTAATCTTGTATACGTTTGTGTACCTGTATATGTAATATTGTATGTTCTTCAGTGCCATTCACTAAATGTTTGGTTTTGTTGCCAGGATTCATATCATCAAAAATGATATAACATCCTAATTTTAAATAGTAGTCATTATATAAAATATAAATAATATTGATTTGGAGTTAATTTAAAAATGCAAAACAAATATTTTAAAAACGAATACAATGGGTCCTCAGGTCTGTTCACTTTTATTAATAATTTCATTTTCAATTGTTTGAATTAAATTAGGTTAATTATAAAAAGTTGATTAAGATTTCAATTTAATACAAATAAGTTTTCGTGTGGATTTATTATATTATATCTAAATATTTATAGATCTAAATAATTATAATATTCTTTTATATTTTAAAAATTAAATATAATAACAATCATATAATAATAGTAAAAATATGTAAGTTTAAAATAGGAGTGAAAGTAATTTAATTGTTTGTTGTTTTATAAATATTTTTTCATTATAAATTTAAAGAAAACAATTTTAAAATTACAGTAATTAAATATCCTGTAATTTAAACATAAAAAATATATTTAACATTTGAATTTATAAATCTTAAGACAATTGAACAAAAAAGTTTATAATGAATGGTAGACCACAATTTAAAGCTTTAATTTTATTTAGGAATTAATTTAGTAATTTTAAATTTATATTATTAAATTTATTGAAAATCTCATTAATAATAGAATTCTAAATTATTTAAGATAGTAATCATATTTATTGAAATTTAAAAATAATTTCTCAAAATCATATTTCAGGTACTCTTTCAAATCCTTTTAAGAGACTGAGAAAATTAAGTCAAAATGTGTCAACACTAATGTTGTTCAAAATGTTTACAAAAGATAAAAAAGAAGACAAATTAGATAATAATCTGAATAATAATAATTATATAAACAATTCACTATTTGAACAAAATTATGATTTTTATAGTAGACATCAATCCATTTTTAATTACACAGAAATACCTCCATTACCTCAAAGTGATAACAAGAGTCTTAAGAACAACAGCAATAAAAATCTAGGCCTTGATTTGAAGACAATTAAGCAAATGAAAAAATTAATATCTGGATCAACTCAATACACCTCCCATTCCGATACGACAACAAACGGTGTGAACACATACTCAACAATCGCCTGAATTTTAATTTTTTGTACTTAACTTAATTAAAGATTTATTTGACAGTACTTGTTATCTCATTTGTTGCCTTTAATTCTAAACCAAACTATTTATATTATACGGTCATTTATAACTCATAAAACATACTTATCAAGTACTAGTTAAAAACTATCAAATTTTGTGTTGAATATCATAACAAAATTATTGATAAATTAATTGAAATCAAAAAGTTGACTGACTTGTAACAAACATGGATATCATTTTAAGAAATCATTAAATTATTTAATAGTATTTTTGTAACTCTAATATCTATTACTAAAACGTCTTTGTTTAAAATCATAAATGTTATTTTTGAAAATCATTTAAAATTCATTTAATGTTGGAATAATTAAAAATTGTAAATTATCAAATTGAGTGTTCATTTCATTATCTATTAATTTCAAACAAGGCCAATTGGGTGTAAGTCAGATGGTGTCCATTTGACGTGAACGGGTGGGAATTTGAACACATCTGGTTGTCCACTATGGAGAACGCCTACTATCTTAGTGGTCGACCACTGGAAGGGTGGCTGTTCTTCATAAGAGGGACCACTGTTTGCAATCATTTCCTGTCGTGAAAAGAGATCACTGTTTGTCATCTTTACGTCAATCGCACCGTGAGATCGAAAGCCAAGACTACTGAAGGGGTAGCGACCGTTCGGGTCGTTTAGGTCACAACGCGCTGCTATGGCGTACTCAGCCGTATAAGGAGGGGTGCAATTGCATCGGGAAAGGGGGTCATTCTTGAAGTCATTATATCTCATAAGATCGTACAGAGTTGTGAAGTCCACTACTTTTTTGTAGTCGCGTTTAAAGATGAGAGCACGGGCCGTCTTATCGTAACTGAAAAAGTCTCCATATTTGATATATTGTGAATTCTGATCACTTAAATCGTAAACAGATTTAAAATAGGGTACGTTATAAGAGGGCCAATAATGCTGTTCCCTTAATACGTGAGTTACATTGTAACTGAAAAAGTCTCCATATTTGATATATTGTGAATTCTGATCACTTAAATCGTAAACAGATTTAAAATAGGGTACGTTATAAGAGGGCCAATAATGTTGTTCCCTTAATACGTGAGTTACATCAGCCGACTCGACATATCCGGGTAACTGTTCCAACACCCAAAGCACATCATTTGGTAAATCAGATGGTTTAGTACCCCTTTGAAACTTCTTGTAGTCAATGATCATGAATTGGTTATTATAAGTGCCACTATTGTGTTGCGAGAAAATCTTCGACCACTCCCTACCCGTTAGGGCCATACGATTAGCGATAGTGTTTCGGATGAATTCAAACACAACTTTATCGGCCACTATATTAGACCACAAACTGTTGTTATAGTTCCCAATAGACGTTTCGAGTACCATAAGTCCGCTGGAAATGAGGTAATAGTCATCGATTGAGAATATAATTCCCGGATATGAGGAAAATGAAACCGATTTTCCGGCAATATTTTTATAATTTAAGTTATATCTCTTGAGAATCCTTAACATTGTTGAATAACCGGCCCAACTATTGTGAGATACAAACAGGTCGCTCCCATCGTCGAGTATTTTAACGATTGCAGAGCACCGGCCGTCAGACAAATCCAAAGTCTTTTGTGACCGATTCAACACCTGCTCTAATTCACCAAATTCTTCAAATAAGTTGAGAAGTAGGAGTCCACTGGAGTTCAGATCAATGCGAGGACCCAATGGGTTAATGTGATCGACAACTGATTTATATCCGTCTTCAATACCCGCCAATTGTATGAATGACAGCTCTATTTGATGCCAATATTCATCAGTTTTGGCGTATTTTTGAATTTGTGATTTCATGAATTCAATGTTTGTGTCTATGAATGCAAATAATTTATTACAGAATTCGGTTGAGTTATCGCAATAATGTTGTATATTATTATTCCAGTGATTCTTAATCAGATCGGCCGTCAAATAGCCCTCAATCAGACCACTAGAGTAAGCCTGTATTGAATCATTGAGTGTCCCGTTTGAATGTATGTCCAATTGAGCCCAACTATTCATTTAATAAAATAACCAGGTTAATAATTTTAAAATTCAATTATTGTAAATTTTCTAAACTACAATATGAAGTATTTTCATAATGATTTAATAAAATAATTTAATAATTAAAAATGAATAGATACCCGGTGGTGTTAATGCTATTGTCATACATAGCCCATGCGGCCCAACCCTCCACATCGTGTATATCTCCGATCACATCATGTAATTTGGACTCTAAATCAACATATTTTGTAACTTTAGTATCGATGACACAAAATATGGTTAAAAATACACTAAAATACAAGAGTTTATTGTACATTTTATTAGTATTGAATCGTAATAAATTCATTAAAAACTAACAAATGACATAAAATTGATTACTTTATAGCTTTTGAGTAAATAGTGGCAACATTTCCATTGGGTATAATTGAATCAATGCTATTTGAACTTTGAAATAATCAAAAATTGATAAGTAATTTCGCATGTGATTTTTCAAAGTGTTATAAATACTAAGGATTTAAAACAGGTACAATTGCTATTATAATTAAAAACAATTCCAATGTTACAAAGCCAATTGATAATTTGATCTGTGTCATTTAAACTTGAATTGTTTGATAAAAGTGATAGGGCAAAACAATCATTTTGTAACTCAGTTTATATAATTATCTACTTATTTGTAATTATTAAGTAAAGACTTTAGCAATGAGCTAGTTAATAAGAGTATACAGGCAAGTAAATTATTTAGAAATGTACCTTGTACTTTATTTTTCATATACACCATGCACCTAATGCACCAAGTTTCTAAAAAATTCATATATTTTCATGAACACACAATTGAATCTAATTTCAGAATTTATAATTACAATTAGTATTTTAGTATTTAGTCTTTAATTTGATAATTATACAGTATATATAATTAAAAATATTAATCAAAATAAGATAAATTATTTTGTAAAATTAGAGCCCCGAAACTTATTAAACAAAAACTGTTCATAGTCATCTATAAGTATGCTCTTTTTATTAATGCATGACAAAAATAAACAAACACATTTCTTTTATATTTAAATAATTAAAAAATTCTATCAAATTAATTGTTTATTCATTAACTTCAAACAAGGCCAATTGGGTGTAAGTCAGACGGTGTCCATTTGACGTGAACGGGTGGGAATTTGAATACATCTGGTTGTCCGCTATGGAGAACGCCTACTATCTTAGTGGTCGACCATTGGAAGGGTGGCTGCCCTTCATAAGAGGGACCACTGTTTGCAATCATTTCCAATCGTGAAAAGAGTTCACTGTTTGTCATCTTCACATCAGTCGCTCCGTGGGATCGGAACCCAAGAGTACTGAAGGGGTAGCGACCGTTCGGGTCGTTTAGGTCACAACGCGCTGCTATGGCGTACTCAGCCGTATAAGGAGGGGTGCAATTGCATCGGGAAAGGGGGTCATTCTTGAAGTCATTATATCGCATAAAATCGTAAAGTGTTGTGAAGTCCACTACTTTTTTGTAGTCGCGTTTAAATATGAGAGCACGGGCCGTCTTGTCGTAACTGAAAAAGTCTCCATATTTGATATATTGTGAATTCTGATCACTTAAATCGTAAACAGATTTAAAATAGGGTACGTTATAAGAGGGCCAATAATGCTGTTCCCTTAATACGTGAGTTACATCATCATAGTATACATATCCGGGTAATTGCTCCAATACCCATAGCACGTCATTTGGTAAATCCGATGGTTTAGTACCCCTTTGGAACTTCTTGTAGTCAACGATCATGAATTGGTTATTATAAGTGCCGCTATTATATAGCGAGAAAATCTCCGACCACTCCCTTCCGGTTCGTGCCATTCGGTTGGCGACAGTGTTTCGGATGAATTCAAATACAATATTATCGGCCACTATGTTAGACCACAAACTGTTGTTATAGTTCCCAATAGTTGTCTCCTGAACCGCCAGTCCACTGGATATGAGGTAATAGTCATCGATTGAGAATATAATTCCCGGATATGAGGAAAACGATACCGATTTTCCGGTAATATTCTTATAATTAAAATTATATCTCTTAAGAATCCTCAACATTGTTGAATAGCTGGTCCATGTGTTGTGAGACACAAACAAATCACTTCCATCTTCGAGAACTCTTATAATAGCAGAGCAATGGCCGTCAGATAAATCTATAGTCTTTTGCGACCGATTCAATGCATATTCAAATTCACCCAATTCTGAGATTAGGTTAAGCAAAAGGAGTCCACTTGCGTTCAGACCAATGCGAGGGCCCAATGGGTTAATGTGATCGACAACTGACTTATATCCGTCTTCAATACCCGACACTTGAATGAATGACAGCTCTATTTGATGCCAATATTCATCAGTTTTGGCGTATTTTTGAATTTGTGATTTCATGAATTCAATGTTTTTATCTATGAATGCAAATAATTTATTACAGAATTCGGTTGAGTTATCGCAAAAGTGTTGTATATTATTATTCCAGTGATTCTTAATGAGATCGGCAGTCAAATAGCCCTCAATGAGTCCACTCGAGTAAGCCTGTTGTGAATCATTGAGTGTCCCATTTGAATGTATATCCAATTGAGCCCAACTATTCATTTAAAAAACAACCAGGTCAGTATTTTAACATTTGTTATTAATATTTATAGTTAAATGATATTTTTGTATGATTAATTGTAATAAAATATTAGCTTGTTTCAAAGTCACTAGCTTTAGTATTAAAAGTTTATACTGTAGTACAGTTGTGTATGTGTTGTGTATTTTTAATAAAATTATTGATCACTATTTTTAAGATTTTACCGGTAAAAGTTTTGTTAATGAGTAATCTAGGCAATAAAGTAAATTTATCATAAACCCAGGCAAACATTTCAATAGAAACTAAACTTTAGTTACTAAAGTAAAAAAGTGTAAAGTAAAATAGCATATAATATTTATCATAAAAGAAAATTCCAAAATGTACCCGGTAGTGTTAATGCTATTGTCATACATAGCCCATGCGGCCCAACCCTCCACATCGTGTATATCTCCGATCACATCATGTAATTTGGACTCTAAATCAACATATTTTGTAACTTTAGTATCGATGACACAAAATGTGGTCAAAAATACACTTAAATACAGAAAAATGAGTTTAGGATACATTTGGATTGTATTGAATAGCATTAAAAATTCACTACAAAATACTCTAGCAAATGATATCAAATCGATTCTTTTTATACCAGTTGAGTAAATAGCCGAGTATTGAGTGATAACTTTCGTATTATTTGAACTTTGAAACATTGAAAAATTGATAAGCTATTTCGCGTACGATATATTGCAAAATGTATTAAATATAAATTAACTTTACTAGATTAATTGCTATTATAATTAAAAAAGATTCCTAGCGTTGCAAAATGCATATGTAAACTTGATCATTTATAGATATGCATGAATTGTTTCATAGAAGAGCAAGTGCAAGATTAAGTGCAAAAATCTTGTAATTAAGCCTTATTGTACTACAGTATACAGTAATTGATACTAACAAGTAATTGTTTTCAGTACATACAGTATACGATATATTTAAATAGCAATTCAAGCACACTGATATTCAATCAGTTAATTCTAAATAATTTAATTAAGACAAGTTACTTAATTATTTTTAATTGCTCCCTAATAAACCATAATTTATCAGAATTCGAGATATTTTATTTAACCTTACAATTGGATTCAATATTAAGAATTTTTCTTTTAAATAACATTTACCGTATACATATTAATATTTGCTAAATATAAAATAACATACCTATAACTATATGCTACAATACATTATTTAATAATATCATCAAGCAAAGCTGTTCACATTCAATTACCAATTATAATATCAGAATATGCTACTAGAATATCATAAGATAGGCTAAATTATAAGTATTGTTTAATATTGACCTGAGGTTTGCTTGGTATGCAAATTATTTGATCAATCATAAATCACTTGGTGATAATAAAAATATTATTTATTTATTACAAATTAAAATTACTAGTTAAATATTGTGGTGGAATGTGAAAGTACTAGGACAAATAAGTTTTCTAACAAATTGTATGATATGTACAATATTCTCGATTCTTGTGCACAAATTCTTGCCATTATTGATGTGAGAGTGTGTTAACCGGTGTCATAGAGAGCGCATGTGTTGCCCACAGAGAGTGAAAAAGTGTGAGAAATTGAATGCATTTGTGTTGTCGAGTGGACTGACTGTATGGATAGACAACAGTATTAATTAAGTGTAGAATCAAGTGATTGAATGAATGTTTTCATATAAATTGCATTAATTTTGAATGCAATCCAAGAGTTGAGGCGACAATCCATTCATACAGTGATTGTACGCTAACATCGATGTCGTGTTCACTCATTCACTGTATATAACAGTATATTATATAATATACACATTTAATCCCAATTATATGCCTTACCATCACTTGACACACACTTTTGGCTCAAGAATTGGGAATTTGTGTCAAAAATATCTTATTTTTAAATTTTTGTTGAGTTTTAAGTTTAGAAAAGACTTGAAATATGTTTTGAGTATAAGTTAGCAATGAATAGAGACTTCAATATTGTTTCAAATGAATTGAATACAAGTTATGATAACACGAGTGAAACAATATTTCGCTAATCATATGAATTGAGTGTTTAATTACTCAACACTTTTGAGATATTCATATAGTTTTCAGTTTCATATATTTAGTCTATTTTTATCAATATTTCATAACTCATTAAATATTATTTATTTATAAAATAGTTTATATGATATGCACTGTGTGTGTGTTAGAGACACTAAAAGACCTTGTTTATTGCATTCAATGTCAACACACATTTACTCGTAGATTGTGCTAACTTTTTGTGACACTATTTTCAATTGAAATAAACTTTTTTCTATCACTTTCTGTCCTTTAATCACAAGTTTTATTCACTAATTAACACATCGTTTGGAAATATCTCTACTTTTTTCAGACAAACAGTCACTGAATTGAAGCGAAGATCACATAAGAAGAGCTTAACTGATCTCAAGAGACATCCCATCGTTGGTAATAACGTGGAAGAAGTCATCAAATTATCGCAAAAATGTTATATCTATTGCTGAAGACCTCGACGACGACTGCGAGTCCTTTGCAGTCACTCTCGAGGAATACTAAACTTCTTTTGAACCAAACATTCAATCGTTGGTCTCATAAGGAGTCAAACCCGAAGAATGCGCCAAAAGCTGAACCATCAGTCAAATTGGGATCCATTGCCTACAAGAACCTGACAATAGGTGTTCCCAAAGAGTTGTGGACCAATGAGCGAAGGGTTGCCTTATCTCCGGCGGCCATCGCTTTGTTGACCAAAAAGGGAATTACAGTCAAAGTGGAGACAAACGCCGGAACTGAAGCCAAGTTCTTGAACTCCGACTACGAGTCGGTCGGCGCTAAGATTGTGGACCGAAAGTCGGTCTTCGAGTCGGATGTAGTGCTGAAAGTGCGACAACCGATCGCCGAAGAGTTGACATCCTTTCGTAATAACTCGACATTAATTAGTTTCCTATTCCCGGCTCAGAATAAGGCACTTATCGATCAATTGTCTGCTAAACAGATGAATGTCTTTGCTATGGATTGTGTTCCCAGGATTTCTAGGGCTCAGGTGTTTGACGCCCTCTCATCTATGGCTAATATCGCCGGGTATTTGATCTTATTGTGACTTGAATTGCGAAAAATAACTTATTTTGTCTTTTTTAGATACAAAGCCGTTGTGGAGGCGGCCAACCATTTCGGCCGATTTTTTACGGGTCAGATCACAGCTTGATCATGAATTGGTTATTATAAGTGCCACTATTGTGTTGCGAGAAAATCTTCGACCACTCCCTACCCGTTAGGGCCATACGATTAGCGATAGTGTTTCGGATGAATTCAAACACAACTTTATCGGCCACTATATTAGACCACAAACTGTTGTTATAGTTCCCAATAGACGTTTCGAGTACCATAAGTCCGCTGGAAATGAGATAATAGTCATCGATTGAGAATATAATCCCAGGATATGAGGAAAATGAAACCGATTGTCCGGCAATATTTTTATAATTTAAGTTATATCTCTTGAGAATCCTTAACATTGTTGAATAACCGGCCCAACTATTGTGAGATACAAACAGATCGCTCCCATCGTCGAGTATTTTAACGATTGCAGAGCACCGGCCGTCAGACAAATCCAAAGTCTTTTGTGACCGATTCAACACCTGCTCTAATTCACCAAATTCTTCAAATAAGTTGAGAAGTAGGAGTCCACTGGAGTTCAGATCAATGCGAGGACCCAATGGGTTAATGTGATCGACAACTGATTTATATCCGTTTGAATTGGTTATTATAAGTGCCGCTATTATATAGCGAGAAAATCTCCGACCACTCCCTTCCGGTTCGTGCCATTCGGTTGGCGACAGTGTTTCGGATGAATTCAAATACAATATTATCGGCCACTATGTTAGACCACAAACTGTTGTTATAGTTCCCAATAGTTGTCTCCTGAACCGCCAGTCCACTGGATATGAGGTAATAGTCATCGATTGAGAATATAATTCCCGGATATGATGAAAACGATATCGATTTTCCGGCAATATTCTTATAATTAAAATTATATCTCTTAAGAATCCTCAACATTGTTGAATAGCCGGTCCATGTGTTGTGAGATACAAACAAATCACTTCCATCTTCGAGAACTCTTATAATAGCAGAGCAATGGCCGTCAGATAAATCTATAGTCTTTTGCGACCGATTCAATGCATATTCAAATTCGCCCAATTCTGAGACTAGGTTAAGGAAAAGGAGTCCACTGGAGTTCAGACCAATGCGAGGGCCCAATGGGTTTATGTGATCGACAACTGACTTATATCCGTCTTCAATACCCGCCAATTGAATGAATGACAGCTCTATTTGATGCCAATATTCATCAGTTTTGGCGTATTTTTGAATTTGTGATTTCATGAATTCAATGTTTTTATCTATGAATGCAAATAATTTATTACAGAATTCGGTTGAGTTATCGCAAAAGTGTTGTATATTATTATTCCATTGATTCTTAATCAGATCGGCAGTCAAATAGCCCTCAATGAGTCCACTCGAGTAGGCCTGTTGTGAATCATTGAGTGTCCCATTTGAATGTATATCCAATTGAGCCCAACTATTCATTTAAAATACAACCAGGTCAGTATTTTGACATTTGTTATTAATATTTATACTGTAGTTAAATGATATTTTTGTATGATTAATTGTAATAAAATATTAGCTTGTTTCAAAGTCACTAGCTTTAGTATTAAAAGTTTATACTGTAGTACAGTACAATACACTAGTGTTGTGTATTTTAAATAAAATTATTGATCACTATTGTTAAGATTTTACCGGTAAAAGTTTTGTTAATTCGTGATCTAGGCAATAAAGTAAATTTATCATAAACCCAGGCAAGCATTTCAATAGAAACTAAAGTTTAGTTACTAAAGCAAAAAAGTGTAAAGTAAAATAGTATATAATATTTATCATAAAAGAAAATTTCAAAATGTACCCGGTAGTGTTAATGCTATTGTCATACATAGCCCATGCGGCCCAACCCTCCACATCGTGTATATCTCCGATCACATCATGTAATTTGGACTCTAAATCAACATATTTTGTAACTTTAGTATCGATGACACAAAATATGGTCAAAAATACACTTAAATATATAAAAATGAGTTTATGATACATTAAGATTGTATTGAATAGCATTAAAAATTCACTACAAAATACTCTAGCAAATGATATCAAATCGATTCTTTTTATACCAGTTGAGTAAATAGCCGAGTATTGTGCGATAACTTTCGTATTATTTGAACTTTGAAATATTGAAAAATTGATAAGCTATTTCGCGTACGATATATATTGCAAAATGTATTAAATATAAATTAACTTTACTAGATTAATTACTATTATAATTAAAAAAGATTCCTAGCGTTGCAAAATGCATATGTAAACTTGATCATTTATAGATATGCATGAATTGTTTCATAGAAGAGCAAGTGCAAGATTAAGTGCAAAAATCTTGTAATTAAGCCTTATTGTACTACAGTATACATTAATTGATACTAACAAGTACAGTACATACAGTATATGATATACTTAAATAGCAATTCAAGCACACTGATATTCAATCAGTTAATTCTAAATAATTTAATCAAGACAAGTTACTTAATTATTTTTAGTTGCTCCCCAATAAACCATAATTTATAAGGATTCAATATTAAGAATTTTTCATTTAAATAACATTTACCGTATTATTTACTGTATACATATTAATATTTGCTAAATATAAAATAAAATACCTATAACTATATGATACAATGCATTATTTAATAATCTCATCAAGCAAAGCTGTTCACATTCAATTACCAATTATAACATCAGAATATTCAACTAGAATATTATAAAATAGGCTAAATTACAATTATTGTTTAATATTGACCTGAGGTTTGCTTGGTTGCAAATTATTTGATCAATCATAAATCACTTGATGATAATATTTATTACAAATTAAAATTACTAGTTAAATATTGTGGTGGAATATGAAAGTACTAGGACAAATAAGTTTTCTAACAAATTGTATGATATGTACAATATTCTCGATTCTTGTGCACAAATTCTTGCCATTATTGATGTGAGAGTGTGTTAACCGGTGTCATAGAGAGCGCATGTGTTGCCCACAGAGAGTGAAAAAGTGTGAGAAATTGAATGCATTTGTGTTGTCGAGTGGACTGACTGTATGGATAGACAACAGTATTAATTAAGTGTAGAATCAAGTGATTGAATGAATGTTTTCATATAAATTGCATTAATTTTGAATGCAATCCAAGAGTTGAGGCGACAATCCATTCATACAGTGATTGTACGCTAACATCGATGTCGTGTTCACTCATTCACTGTATATAACAGTATATTATATAATATACACATTTAATCCCAATTATATGCCTTACTATCACTTGACACACACTTTTGGCTCAAGAATTGGGAATTTGTGTCAAAAATATCTTATTTTTAAATTTTTGTTGAGTTTTAAGTTTAGAAAAGACTTGAAATATGTTTTGAGTATAAGTTAGCAATGAATAGAGACTTCAATATTGTTTCAAATGAATTGAATACAAGTTATGATAACACGAGTGAAACAATATTTCGCTAATCATATGAATTGAGTGTTTAATTACTCAACACTTTT